GTCTCAGGTGACCCCCAGGTGGGCACCGGTGACCCCCAGGTGGGCACAAGTGAGCCCAGATGAGCCTCAGGTGAGCCCAGGTGGGTCTCAGGTGACCCCCAGGTGGGCACAGGTGACCCCAGGTGGGCACAGGTGGGTCCCAGGCAACCCTCACGTGTGCCCAGGTGAGTCTCAGGTGACCCCCAGGTGACCCCTAGGTAGGCACAGGTGGGTCTCAGGTGACTCCCAGGTGGGCACCGGTGACCCCCAGGTGGGCACAGGTGAGTCTCAGGTGAACCCTAGGTGTGCCCGGGTGACCCTGAGGTGTGCCCAGGTGGGTGCCAGGCGCCCCTGAGGTGTGCCCAGGTGTGCCGCAGGTGTTGCTTTACCTGTCCCGCTCAGGTTGGGGTTGGTGTAGTCCCAGGTGTCCTGGTCGTTCTTGAACACGTTCAGGCGGCTGGGCTGGGGGGGGAGGGAAAGTGGGGGGTGTTGGCACCTGTACAGGTGTGCCCAGGTACCCCAGGTGTGTGTCCAGGTGCACCCAGGTATCCCCAGGTGTGTACCCAGGTGTGTGCCCAGGTGCCCCCAGTTGGGTGCCCAGGTGCCCCCAGTTGGGTGCAAAGGTGTGCCCAGGTGCCCCCATGTATCCCCAGGTGCCCCCAGGTGTGTTCCCAGGTATCCTCAGGTGTGTTCCCAGGTGTGTCCCCAGGTGTGTTCCCAGTTATCCTGTGTTCCCAGGTATCCCCAGGTGCGTTCCCACATATCCCCAGGTGTGCCCAGGTGTGTCCTCAGGTGTGTTCCCAGGTGTGTCCCAGGTGTGTTCCCAGGTGTGTCCCAGGTGTGTGCCCAGGTGTGTCCCCACATGTGTTCCCAGGTGTGTTCCCACATACCCCCACGTGTGTTCCCAGGTGTGCCCAGGTGTCCCCAGGCGCATTCCCAGGTATCCTCAGTTATCCCAGGTGTATTCCCAAGTGTGTTCCCCTTATCCCCAGGTGTGTTCCCAGGTATCCCCGTGTATCCCCACATGTCCCCCAGGATTCCCAGTTATCCCCAGGTGTGTTCCCAGGTGTGTTCCCAGGTGTGTCCCAGGTGTGTTTCCAGGTGTGTTCCCAGTTATCCCCAGGTGTGTTCCCAGGTGTCTCCCAGGTGTGTTCCCAGGTGTGTCCCAGGTGTGTTCCCAATTATTCTCAGTTATCCCCAGGTGCGTTCCCAGTTACCCCAGGTGTATTCCCAGGTGTATCCCCAGTTATTCCCAGTTGCCCCAGGTGTGTCCCAGGTGTGTTCCCAGGTGTCCCCAGGTGTGTCCCAGGTGTGTTCCCAGTTATCCCCAGGTGTGTCCCCAGGTGTTCCCAGGTGTGTCCCAGGTGTGTTCCCAGGTGTCCCCAGGTGTGTCCCAGGTGTGTTCCCAGTTACCCCAGGTGTGTCCCAGGTGTGTCCCAGGTGTGTCCCAGGTGTGTCCCAGGTGTGCCCACCTTGGCGTACTCGATCTTGAGCGTGCAGCATCCCGAGTAGATGTCGGCGCCGTTGAGCGAGGCCTTGGCGCGTTGGGCGCTCTGCACAGAGTCAAACCTGCCCCGTCGTCAAGGAATACTGGGAATACCGGGAATGCCGGGGGGCACCTGAGCTCCCGGGGGGGCACCTGAGCTCCCGGGGGGATCAGACTCCAAAGGGGAATTGGGAGCACCTGGATCTTGGGGGAACCTCGGGTTCCTGAACACCTGCACTGGTTGGGAACACCCGGATTGGTTGGGAACACCTGGACTGGTTGGGAACACCTGGATTTTAGGGAATCCTCATCCACTTCTTCCTGAACACCTGCACTGGTTGGGAACACCTGGTTAGGAACACCTTAATTTTAAGGAATCCTCATCCACTTCTTCCTAAACATCTGGATTGGCTGGGAATACCTGGACTGTTGGGAACACCTGGATTGGTTGGGAACACCTGGGTTGCTTGGGAACACCTGGATTGGTTGGGAACACCTGGACTGGATGGGAACACTGGGACTGGTTGGGAACACCTGGATTGTTTGAAAACATCAGGATTTTGGGAGCCCTCATCCACTCTTTCCTGAACACCTGGATTGGTTGGGAACACCTGGATTTTGGGAGCCCTCATC